GTTAGAAGTCACATCCCAGATATGAATGTCAGTAATAAGAGTGATCCCGTGCGAAGGAAGCCACAGGAATTCGATGGGAAGGCACCGTGGGAAGCATATAGAGCACAATTTGAGCTACTAGCAGAAATGAATGGATGGACAGAGGAGCAGAAAGCTGTATATCTGGCAACGAGCTTGAAGGGACAACCACTGGAAATACTTGGACAGTTGTCAGAAGACGACAGACACAACTATACAGCACTGGTAGTGGCTCTAGAACTCAGGTATGGAACCCAAAATCAGTCTGAAGTCTACAGGGCTAGGTTTAGGACGAGAGTCCATGCTAAAGGGGAGAGCCTGTAAGAGCTGGCACAGGACCTGGAAAGTATAGCACACAGGGCCTACCCAACTGCACCACCCAATCTTCTCAACTTGTTGCTGAGGGATCAGTTTGTACATGCCTTGGACAGTCCACAATTTAAGATACAAGTAAAGTAAGCACACCCCTCTACTATGTAGGATGCAATGGCCAGACCTCTTGAATTTGAATCCTACGTTAAGTCCAGCACAGAGGTACCAAGGTTGGTACAGTCATCAGGATTCAAGGCCAGAAAAGGTAATTTTTCAGAGAGGTTTGATGGACTTTGCTCTTTGCTGGCACTGTAACAAACTGGGGCACAAGAGAGCTCAATGCCGGCAGCTTCAACACAGGAAAGATGCCACAGCAATAAAGGCTGCTACCCAGAAAAGTTGTTGGAACTGTGAAGAGCAAGAACATATGAGGAGACGGTGTAAGAAGAAAGCTACCAATAAGTCAGCCTCGGTAAAACCAGTAGTGGTTGGTGTTGAGGGACGCCAACCAACCCCCTTTGTGAAAGTCCCAACAGCTAGGTGTAAAATGCTAAGTACACATAATGTCTATGTGACAGGAAAGCTGGATCGCCAAAGGTTCGACTTTGTCATAGATTCTGCATCTCAGCAAACACTTGTGAGTATCAAGTTGCTGGATCACAAAGGAGTACCAGAAGCTCTGTGGTGTGACAGGACATTATGCAAGGTTGTGGGGACCAGTGTGGGTAACTATTGAGCCCATAGGCATGAAGGACAGATACAAAGTATTGTTACGTCTCCGTTTGTTAATTAATTTTCCGTAAATTCGTTCTGACGAAACTTTAGCGACACAAGTCCTTTCTTAAATAAAACTGGTTTATTCTTTGTGAATACTAACTTGCAATACACTTAATTTCAACAGTCGCGCTATAACAAACGTCTCACGTG